AAAAGTAAAAAAACTAACACCAGTGGTGGAACAACCAGGGTCACATGGTTTCTTTCAGCGGGGCCCTGAAGGTTCTAATTATGCTACTGTTCAGGGTATTTATGCATCCTCCCAGAATCCTCTGGGTCAGGATTCCCAGGGATTGGCTTGGGCTACATAAATATTAAGCTGCTGATTAAAATCATCCTGCCTCTATAACCCAGAGCTCCTCCAGTGAACAGGGGGAGGAAACAATCATGCAGCCTCTGGAACACAGGCCAGACCAAAAAAATCAAATACAGCTTCACTGGTTACAGTGAGCTAGAACTACATTTACCTACACTTATGCTACAACTCAAAGAATTTACAGCCCCACTAGATACAGTGGGTCAAACTAAATTTGCCTATCATGGCAAGAAACTAGGAGGGTGCTACATGTATATCAATGCTAAATTTTGAATACTGGCCACTAGGGATATGCAAGAGGCAAAAAGATGTGGACAAGCCTTTGTACCATCAGGAAATTACAGAGATTTGCCTGTCAAAAGTATTTAGGGTTGGTCTGTGCAGGAGGGCTTGGGAGGCAACTGCAGGTAGGCACCTCTAGGTGCCTGCAAACTATACCTACAGCAGGTTTTTTAATGTTCTTAAGAGACTCCCCTCACTTTTAGCTTCTTCCTAATTGCTTTTCATCATGCTTAAAGTATAACTAAAGGCAAAACCTTTTTTTTTTTTAGTTTTGGATAGAGTGGAGAGGGATTAGAACACCTGTCAGTCTTTATTCCTATCTGTGCTCCCGTTAAGGAGATTTACTCTTTATTTTTCCTATTAATCAATTTTGGGTTCTCCCCAGGAAAGTAGTAGAGGGGAAATCTTCCAGTCTTCTCTTAATTTGCAGGGATTTCCTCTCACTTCCTATTTGGCTATGGGACAGGAAGTGAAAAGAAATCTTTGCAATAAGACACAGATGGTAAAAATAAATGTGACAGGGGGTTATAACTCTCCCTTGCTCTATCCAAAATGAAAAAAAAAAGTTTTAGCTATAGTTCTACTTAAAACGACGCTAAAAGAATTTCTCTTCCATTACCTTTTCCTTACCAACTAAATTTCCCCAAATACTATGTGTCCCTGGTTATACATAAGCAATTAGATAGGTCATGTACTGCTGCTATAGCTATAGAGTAATATTAGCTCATTGTGCAAACGACAGCAGGATTTTGGCTTAATGAACATTTCTTGAGAAAATATTTAGTTCTAATTTTAAAGTCTATCTACTCTGTAGTTATCTCCCACTCCTACTTTTTTTCCTCTCCCTTCACCCTCCAGACCTTTCACTCATCCTTCAGATAAACCCTTATGACTGATTGCTGTAAATGTAGAGGTGGCACTGCTAGGTCTTAAAACCGTGATTTGATTCACAAGTGACTTGGTTACAAAGTGATACATCACTCTGATTAATCTCAGAGCTTTAAAATATCTGTTATCATCATTGCTGCTGGAAGTCAGTGCCTTCTTCAATATAGAAACATCCATGGGCATTACGTTAAAAGATGACACCACCAAAATCAGTATGTTGTTTTATCTCCATGTTTTCCCTCTATAGATAATAACAAATTGCAGTGAATTCGGTGATGGAACTGAAAGGGAAAAAAAAGTGGGGTTGCAACAATAGCGGGTACCTGTATAAGGATCTGGATTTTGAGAGTGGATCCTTTTAGTGAAGAGATACTGCACTTAAACCATTTGCAGGAGAGTCTAGGCCAAGCCCGGTGTCACTTCACTATGCTGATAACCAAATACTATTTCCTAGAGTCACACTCTCTCTAGTGTGGGATGTCTCTAGCAGTCTTTCTGTAATGTGAGCAGTCTCTGGAATGTGTGGGGTCTCTGGTAGTCTTTCTGTAACTTTGACGTCTCTATTATGGCAGTTCCTTTGTTAACATAAAGCAATGATAAATTCAATTTTAAGTAAGGAGGTATTAAAGGGGCATTATTACTGAAGTGTGCTTTGGGATGCACAGGCCCTGATAGGAGTTAGCAATAGGAATGTCTCCTGCACATAAGTGTGGAGGACTGGAGGCAGTGATCCTGATTTAGCTCCAGTGGGTGTGTGTATCAATATTGACCAACGCATGGACCAAGCCTTGCTGCTCTCGCTCACAACCGGGGATGTCCAGACAGAAACTGCAAAAAAGACAAAGCAAGAGTGCACTGGCCTAGCGCATTATCCCAAAAAGATTTATTATGTTATAAATAAAAACAGAAACATGATGACATTTCGCATATCTAAAGCCACTTGGTGCAGTGACCGATAGGAGCCAATAGACCCTGACGTCTAGATAAGAGCCATCCCAGGGCTAAAATGCGCTGAAGTGTTTCGAGGGCAACCCCTTTCCTCAAAGCCCTCAGGAAGAGGGTCAGGTGCATTTTAGGATGGCTGTCATCTAGATGTCAGGGTCTATTGGCTCCTATTGGTCATTGCACCAAGTGGCTGTTATTAGATATGTGAATTGTCATCACATGTTTGTGATTATGTTTTTAATAATACAATAAACCTTTTTGGGATACTGCACTAGGCCAGTGCGCTCTTGCTTTGTCTTTTTTACTTTTTCCTGATTGGTGTTAACCAGTGACAAATATAAAGCATCTTTGCTTTGTAAAAACTGCCTCACCACCCTAGAAGTCTGGTATGCAGTAGGGAGGGTGAATGGTCCTTTTCAAAACACCCTCCCTGCCTGCAGAGTAAAGCATTGATAAAAATTACCATTTGTGGCTTGGAGAGCCAGTTTTGACTAATTTAAAGGAACAGAATGAGGAAGACAATGTGGGAGCAGCAGTGCCAGATTAAACTCTGTAGAGGCCCCTAGACAGTTGAAACCTAAGGGCTTCCCTCGCAGATTTCTGGAGGGTTTTTGTGTGCACGCTCTGGTGGGATAACATTGAACTAAGCCGTGTGCACATCAGCCACTAGATGAAGATGACCATCACTACTGTACATTACACATGTGTAGGTTGCACCAAACGTTTTTTATAAACTGATAGCTGAAACAAGATGAGCTTTTAAGAGATAAACTATAATATGAACCTGATGTCTATGGTTTATGTATTTTAGGTTGTTATTGGGTACATTACATTAATATAATATTTTCTCTAGAGTCTTTAATGTTAAGTTCTTGTTTCTTTGAGTTGATTCAGTTTTTACATCTTTTCTTAACAATTTAAGAAAGCTTCACTGCAGTTTTCTTTCAATTGCTAATTTGGTCCATTGTTGCCCTTAAACTGTGGGGAGCCCATAGGTGTTGACTATTCTGCCTACTTGGTAATCCAGCACTGGGAAGCAGGCAGCCTAGCTGAAAGCCTGGGGGGCCTAATAACAATAGCAAGTTCTATTGTATGTATAAGGTGGAAAATTCAGTTTCAAATCTACCACACAGGATGCACATAGCTAAACTGCTGGTCATTTGTGGCTAGGGTTAGCCATATTTTAAAGAACCTCCCTACACAAGCAAAATTAAACATCTGGCAATCACAGCTAAATTTTGATACCATTCTGATATCATTGTGCAACATTCTCAGTGATATAATTGCATTATTACACTCTACAATGTTGGGTATTCTACTACAGCCTTTCTCAACAAATGTTCCTTGAAATCATAAGGTTTCATCACAGGTTTCCAGGACTTCCTTAAACAGTGGAATGATAATATTTGACCTTAAGGTGCCTACATAGCTCGAGAATCAAGCAGAATTGGAGTCAGTGGAGCCTCTTTTTTTGTCTCAGACAAATCACCACTAACATCAATGATTGTAGCTGTCTCTAAGGTGGTCATTCTTCCCACTGATGCCCCAATGTATGGGAAATTCATTTCGCTAACCACCATTGTAAAGGGAAGTCTTTCCACTGACCACCAATTAAATGGAGCATTTCTTCACTGACAATCAATGTATAGGGACACTACAATTTCATACTCTGCCCTACTTTCCTGGCCATTAGGTTTCATTTTCTTTCATGATTACTACAGAAAGTAATTTTGCTGCATATTGTTAAAAAAAAGATGTACTGTATGTGTCAAATAAGCTAGGTGCACCACATTCTTTCTCTTATACTTATTATTATATGTACAACTTACCATCAATCTAATATACTGTCAGCTTATATATTTTAGAGACATGAAAATGCCTAACTCGGGGCTTAGAACCTCTCCCAGACAGCCTCACACCATCCATGGAGCACCCTAAGCACCATAAAAAAAAAACATTATTCATAACTTTTTAGCAGATGTATTCAGCTGGGTCCAATGTTGACACGTCCTCTTTGACCTCTTCTTTCTGCAGTGGGAGGCAAATCCTAAATGCTGCTGAGAGCAGCACCAATAATGATGTAGTGCACCTCTCTATAGCCGCCTTCTGGTTTGGTTAGGGTGGGAGGGGTGATGCCCTGAGACCCTGGCCTAGCAGAAAGTGGGTAAATGATGATGAGTGTCATTCAACTCTAAAGAAAAGTGTTGACTAGAAGCTTTAGACATTGGCTGGATATGCTACCGAAGCTGCTTTTTTTTCTGTCCAGCTGTGAAGATCCATTCAATTGTTTAAAACCAAGGTAGGACTGGGCTTTAAAACTTAGTTCCAGCTTTACCGTCAGTCCTGTGCAGGTATACAGGCTCCTCTACAACAAGGACAGGGTGCGTTAGATGTTGCAGCAAGTCAGATAGAGCCTACTTCATTCCAAATAAAAGGAGGTACGGCATTACCCAGCCCTTTCCTCACCTGCCTGGCTGTTCCCAATCATGGAATCATGTATAAGTGCTACCTACAATCTGCAAGCAAATGCAATCTGCTTAGGAATGTCCACTCCTCCAGACTGACATCCACCCATCAAGGAATTTTGATATTTGAATAACTTCTCCTATGAGCCAGCCCATTGATTGCACCAGGTCTGAGGGTTCTTAAAGCGGAGTTCCACGCACCCTGTCAAAAAAGAAAAGTCAGCAGCTACAAAAACTGTAGCTGCTGACTTTTAAAAAACAGCCACTTATCTGTCCCTTGGTCCCGCGGTGTGTCCCCTGCAGCCCATTTCACCGATTGTCCTGTATTCCAGGAGGCCGGCATCTTCAGTGTGGGCACCCGGGTGTGACTGCTTGCGGCTTCACAGCCGGGTACTCACTGCACATGCGCGAGTAGCGCTGCACTTCATGAATGGTCCTGTAGTCTTCTGGGACCTGTCACATGTCCCAAAAGACTACAGGGAGGGAGGACACCTTCCGCTTCTGATCGCCTAGGCGTTCGGACCAGAAGTGGGAGCGGGTACCTGTCAAATTCGAGTACCTGCTCCCCCCCCCCGCCCCCCAAAGGTGCCAATCCTTAATGGGGAGGGGGGAGACGTCCTTAAAGCGGAACTTCCCCTTTTGGGTGGAGCTCCACTTTAAGAAGAGTACTAAGGCAGGATGGTGTGATTTTTTTTTTTATTGTATTTTTTTATGTACAGCACCTTGCCAGCCTCTCCCATCAATAATGATCTGTCCTTACTGAATAGAGAACCACAGAGACCCAGTGATGACATCACAGGGTCTAAAATTAGATATGTAATAAGTAAAAAAAAAGGTATTTTAAACATGTCATTAGCATGTTGATGAGGGGGAAAGGAGGAACCAGGGAAGGCAAAATATAAGCAGATTACATTTCAGCTTTAAGAGCTCCTCCAGGTGAAGGCTGATCTACTCTTTTTTTTAAAGTAAATACCTTAAAGAACATAAGTGCTTTATGGTACAGCTTTTTTCAACATAAACTGCAAAAACTTTCCACTCAACTATTGCCTTTATACTAAAGTTACTTCACACTTTTATTACTGTTATTACACTGGATAGAACATATCTTTTAAGCAGATAACACAAGAGCAGTGAAATGGTTGACATTCCACAATGAACAAACAACATCAATAATGATTTAAGTGATCTTTAGGAATGTAAGAGGGCCATAGCTTTTGGTGCTGAATGCCAGAATCTGTACAGTAATTGGATGAAGTGGGGAAAAAATTGTAGCTGCTTAAAATAGGCAGAATGTAGAAAACTATTATCCGTCTAGTATCACTGCTCTTGCACACAGAGGTTTTCTGCTTTAGAACTTGAGCCCAGTATAAAAGCATGTTCCTTATTTTAAAGGAAGATTGTATATTATCTCATTTTTAAATGTTACTACATTCAGTGTTAAAATTTGAAATGTATGTCTTCTGGTCATCTAAATATGAAATATTATAAATTGGAAAGATTCAAGACCCAGACATTTACCATCACTAATATAAATCATACTAATCAGAACACTCTTTAAATACATTGTTATTCAGTATTCATGTATAATATTCATTGATGGTGCCCAGAAGAAGTCTGTGATTTGAATGTTTCCTGTTTCAAAAATCTGAGTAAAACTGCCATACAAATATATTTTGGGGGAAAGCTGACTCATCCCTTACTCAGTGAATTACATTAGAACATTGTAACACAGTATAAGGCAGAGAAATGTCTACTTCTTCTCCACTTAGTCTGTGTCATACAATCAATATAATGTATATCCCATTAAAAGTGGCACACCTAAAAGCACTATATTCATATAAACAGGCCATATTATAATCCAAATGCAATTTCAGAGAAATAACACTTTGTGACAAAAAAAAAAAAATCTGTATACAGAATCTAACAAATTCAAACAGTTGGACACATGTGGAAAAATTAAGGAACTTCAGGGCTGTGTGTGGCTTCTCCCCAGAGGCGGACTGACAACTTATTGGGCCCCCGGGCAATAGGGGATCATGGGGCCCCTGTGTCCTTGCTCAAACTCAAAAAAGCCTATGAAAAAGGTAACAGGGGCATCTCATGGGGCCCCCTACTGACCCCGGGCCCTCGGGCAGTGCCCGAGTTTCCAAATGGTCAGTCCGCCCCTGCTTCTCCCCTGTCATGGCATGTCTACCATATGTCCCACTAGTGTCCTCTAGGGAATGTGAAAGTATACAAGGTTTTTCTTAGTGTAAAATGAATGCTGGCCATATGATTGAAATTCACATGGTTTAGCGGGGACTGGCCAAATATTAATCAGTGTGTGGCCCTCCTTGCTGAAGAGAGGTTAATCGTTTGGTTGGCTTCTGTTGAAGGGACATGCTTGAAAACTTTTCTCAGGTACTGCTATCAGAATACAATGTCCCGGCATGGAGGATTCCTCCATCGAACTCATTAGTGGATGAATGGAAACAAACAAATAATCTATGGCCAGCTTCAGTAAAATGCAAACTAGTAGCACCCAGCTTTAGAAACTTTCCAAATTATCAGGTAGTAAGAACATTTTACTTGTGTAGTCCATATAGCTGCACAGGGGCCTATCTGGGATCTATGGATCTAGAGATCTATCTATACTAGATCTGGGTTGGTGGTAAACAGGGGAGGACTGACCATTTGAGCACTTGGGCACTGCCCGAGGGACCGGGGTCAGTAGGGGGCCCCATGAGATGCCCCCGGTACCTTTCATAGGCTTTTTTGGGTATAGTTTGGGTGTGGGCAAGGACACAGGGGCCCCATGATCCCATATTGCCTGGGGGCCCCATGAGTTGTCAGTCCGCCCCTGGTGGTAAACCCTTTCCCATCAGAAGACAGGAAGTTGCATACCCATGATATCAGATCACATCCAGCTCCACTAAAACTGGGCAAAGCACACTTCAGTCCTATCTAGAATCATCCCTTTTCAGTGTTTCACCCAATATACAGTAGGTTTGACCAGAGGTGACTACTTCGAATCTCCATGTCATGTAGATCTAGACATCTTTTACTTTAGGGCCTATTCACACCATATCTGGTGACTGCTGGTTTAATCAAGGCCAGTCACTGCAGGGGCACATAGAAAGCAAATGTTTTCTATGTGCCCCGTTTACACAACAACTAATATTCAACAGACATGCTGCATTTTTCCCCAGTGCATTGGTATGCATCACAAGTCACCACATTGCAGTGCAGAGACTTGAATGGGTGTAACTTTGTACTGTATATTGTCAATAAAGTTAAAGCGAAACTAAATTCCCCTCAAAACCAGAGCTGTGGTGTCCTGGAACTCCCTCACCACACACTGACAACTTCAACCAGTGTTCTTATGGATTTCAATCTTCAGCCATATTGAATGACTGGTCCGAGATTATGTAATTCCTATGAATATTCGGGAAATCCCTCACCTCAGCATATGCCAACGTTGTACACTGAGCTGTTCACATTAGTGTGAGTAGGAGCAGTGTGCTGCGGCAGCAGTAAAGACAGAGTCTGGCTGCAGATAAACTCAGAACTTGTATTGCAGAGAATACCAACTACAAACAACCCCAGCTGGGGAGCACTGCTTTGGGTAACACTCACATTTCAGGTAAATGCAGAGATACATCAGGTAAGGATGCACCAACAGTGTCTGTGACAGAGGGTGGAAGGTGGCCTGACTGGTCTGGTCTCAAAGGGGAGGTTTCCATGAAGGGTTGCAAATTCCTGGCCTGTCCCTACTCATCTGAAACCTTTCCCTGCCGCTATCACTTTCCCTGACAGAAGAGTGCTCTTTCCCTGCTCTCACCACTTTGCAAATGCATGCCAAAACCTGGGGGCAGGGACTCATAAAGACTCTGCTGAAACAAGATGTCTGCCAGGGGTCACCTGGATGCAGCGTAGCCAACCAGGGCACTGCCTTCACCCGGAAGCCATAGAGAAACCAGGTTTCTGACATCCTCTTCAGGATGTGGTACCACTCAGGTTGAACCCCACCTACAGTGGAGAAAAACAAACTGCACTTGCCTACATGACCTTTTGACAGGTGAAAAGTAGGAGATATTAAAGCGGAGCTCCACCCAAAAGGGAAAGTTCTGCTTTAAGGACTCTTCTCTGCTTCCCATTAAGGATTGGCACCTTTGGGGGGCGGGGGGGGGGAACGGGTACCCAAATTTGACAGGTGCCCGCTCCCACTTCCAGTCTGATCGCCTAGACCAGAGGTAGGCAACCTTCGGCTCTCTAGCTGTTGTGGCACTACATTTCCCATGAGGCATTGCAACATTACAAAATTGACAGTTACAGCTATGACTTACAGAGGCATGATGGAACTTGTAGTCCTGCAACAGATGGAAAGCAGCAGGTTGCCTATCCCTGGCCTAGGTGATCGGAATCAGAAGTTGTCCTCCCACCCTCCCTGTAGTCTTTTGGGACATGTGACAGGTCCCAGAAGACTACAGGACCATTCATGAAGTACAGTGCTACTCAAGCATGCGCAGTGGGTACCCGGATGTGCAGGACGGCTGGTGAAACGGGCTGTGGGGGACACACTGCGGGACAGAGGGACACAGGTAAGTGGCTGTTTTTGTACCTGCTGACTTTTATTTTTTGACAGGGTGAGTGGAACTCCGCTTTAACCATGATATTAGTTTGTCATATCCAATCAGCAAACACTTCTTTTATCCCTGCCTGAATGGCACTAAGACATGTAGTACAGTTGTTCTATTTTCTCTTGATGCCAGTAGGGCAGGAAGTGAAGGTGGTCTTTACTGTCTAACTCAGGTTGTATATTATGAACCATGAGAGAGTTTAGGGCATCACAACAGCTACTCCTTATCTGCATGTACCTTTCTCTCTCTATACAAGGTAAATACTGTAAGTGCTCAAATGTGGGCAGTAGGGCAGTAAGGGACCCAAAAATTATTCTTACACAGGGACAAAAGTGAAGAGTGCAGAGAAGGGCAACCAAACTGATAAGAGGCATGGAGGAGCTCAGCTACGAAGAAAGATTAAAGGAATTGAATGTATTCTATCTTTAAAAAAGGAGATTAAGGGGGGATATGGTCAACATGTATAAATACATCAGTGGTTCATATAGAGAACTCGGTGTAGAGTTATTCACCCTGAGGTCATCACAGAGGACAAGGGGGCACGCTTTACGTCTGGAGGAAAAGAGAGTTAATCTCCAAATATGGAAAGGTTTCTTCACATTAAGAGCTGTGAAAATGTGGAGTAGACTCCCTCAAGAGTTGGTTTTGGCCAGCTCAGTGGATTGCTTTAAAAAAGTCCTGGATTCTTTTCTAGATACACAGAATATAACTGGATACTAACATTTATGGGTAAAGTTGATCCAGGGAATATCCGATTGCCTCTTGGGGATCAGGAAGGAAATTTTTTCCTCTACAGGAGCAAATTGGATCATGCTTTGCTGTTTTGTTTACCTTCCTCTGGATCAACTGTGGGTGTAGGATTATAACCTTTTTTTTTTATTATTTATGGTTGAACTAGATGGACTTTTGTCTTTTTTCAACCAGACTAACCATGTAACTTTGACACTTTGGTAACCACCACTGGTTATAGGCTCTTATTTAAAGATCTAAAGAACTCTGCCACTAGACTCGATGGTACAAAAAATAATCATTTTGGCCAGAGTTCTATTCTAATTCTTAACAATATAATTTTAGATGAGTTAGCAGAATGTGGCACCTTTCCGAAATCCATTTGAGTGTATTCATCTTTGCAATGTCTCCAAGAAGCCCGCGTGTCTCGCATTGCAGATACAAAGCTTTCATTTAGTGTTATTAGTTGGTGGCGAGGTAAGCACGGAGGCCTGAATTGATCTTCTGAGTAAGCATTTTTCCTTTCCTAATTAATGCTGACTTGCATGTGATAAATTCAGACAGGGAAGTAATTGGATATGACTTCTGCAATGCTTTCTGGTTGATAAAACTGGGACTGCACCAGCTCACTGCTAAAATGTACCATCGGAAAGCCAGAGAATGGTCACTCTGAACCTGATTTGTGCTTTTATTTTCTGAAGTGATTTCATTAGAAAAGAGGTGCCAGAAGTTCAAAGCGTTCCGCTGACATCCTTCTCTTCCCAAGATTAAATAGTATGTATATCTTTCGTCTTTTTAGGCCCTCCACAGAAAAAATATTATGCGCTGTAGATTAAAGACAGAGATTCCCACACCTACGACCAGGGAGCAGCGATTTATGTATGCATTAAAGTGGAACTGACATCATTTTTCAAGTACTATTTATTGAATATGTAATTTGCTTGACTACCTGGGGATTTTAAAGAGCAAGCAAGGCTGCTAGCTGACATAAATATAGAGAATATTATGCAAAGAGCTGAAGTGTTTACATGCACTAAATATGCCCTTTGTTTAAAATGCTTTTCTATCTTCCATCACTCTTGACTGTGAGCTCAGTGACATGTTGTGACAAAAGTGACAGGGCTTGCGGCGGGATTTAAACTGACACACTCCCAATCCTTATATTTGGCGTATAAACGTTTTCTCCAAAAATGGATCTCGTCCACACCTCCAACTTATAATCAGTAGAGTGACACTGTTCAGGAGGAGCTAACCTATAAACATAGGGGATGCCCAAAAATTAAAAAAAAAAATATGGGCTCTGTGGCCCATGGCTCAGGATTTACTGAGGGAGCCTAGATACTAGTTACACCAGAAGGGTAGGATCATAGTTGATATACTGACTCTGTAAGGACTGTATTACAACATCTTATAATTTAGAATGCGATAAAGTGCTGCATAATAGATAATAATGTGGATACAAGTGCTGGTTAAGTGGACCTTATAAGAAAAAAAACAATTGTACAATGTTTGGAACCATAGTTCAATGCTGTACGTTTTATAGTATGCTATTTTGTTTTTTGTTATGTGTTCTTACTTGGATCGATGTTTGCTCCACATGATAGAATCTGTCTTATGTTTTTTGTACTTTGTTCTTTGTACAAAAAATATACAGAAAAACCTTAATAAAAATGACTTGATTGAAAAAAAAGACAGTCACGCTGTGATTCCAGTAGGACTTTCTCTTAGTCTTACATTGGATTCAGCAGTGATTTTGTGGAGATGTTTTAACATTACAGTCACACAAGTTAGTAACAGCAGAAACTATTTTTTTCTAAATAAACCCAATCACTAAAAATCTCAAATAAGCTTTGACATGTTAATATAAATTCAAAAGTTATTTACAATGTTTTTAAATCTGCACCTCTCGTTAACCTCTTTTACATACAGCCATTGTAACTAAATAGCTGGATGGTGCCCTTAAAGGGGTGGGTAGCTGTTTGTCCTTTTGTGTTTATGTTGGTTATGTGACGATCGCAGCGTCAGACCCCAGCACTTCTCACCAAACTCATGACCGAAGGACTAGCCAATCTAAAACCACGCTGTCACGTGCGTAACAATGCCACGCCCAGCTGCACCCTGCACAAAGATTTTCCAGCTAATGGACCACAATCTGTGTACCAGCAGCCTGGGAGCAATTGTTACTGGGTCAGGTTAATTACGCAATTAACCCTTCATACTGCCACCACCTCCTCCTTTTTGTACAGAGAAAGAGGAAACTCGGCAATATCAGCAATAACACTATGATGTTTGCATAAGCGTCGGTATACCACTGTCACCGCAGGCAGAGATATACCGAAGTTTAAATCACACACACACAGTAGCGCTCTTCAGAGGCAGGGATTCTTAGTTTGCATTAAAGAGCTTTAGAAATAGTTCAATACTTTCAGAAAGTAAGATTTTATTACTAAAAAGGTCAAAAAGGGTGCAATAAAAATATTTACAGAAGAAATTGATGTAGCCAGCGTATATATATATATATATCTAATATATATATATATATATATATATACAAAGAGCAATAACACAGCAAAGAGATAACAGAAAGGAATTTAGGGAGGTAAAGTACTTGCCAAACGTCCTGCTTTAAGCAGATCAGGTTTCAGAGCCAAAAGGATGCCTTATCTCCCAAAAGTTAGTTCCGATGTTAAAAGGGAGCTTCTTCAACTTAACTCAAACTCAGCTTAGCTCAGCTTTTCTAGGAACTCAGCAGGGTGTCTCCCTGAAGCAGAGAAACCAATAGCCTCATTTGGGGAGGGAGTTGTAGGCGGGGAGCTCAGGCTCTGACCAAAGCCCTCTGAAATTCTACTTTGGTCAATAACTTTTTCTAGGTACATGTAACTGTCAGGAATGGACTGGCCAGCAATGGTGGGACTCACCTGCCTTTTGATCTGCAGTACCAGGGCTGGCCAGCGGGTGCTCCCAGCAATCAGAGACTCAACCTTTCAGCCAGCTAACACCTGGAACTGATGATACTGGTGTATTTAAGGGATGGCCAGACTTGCAGACTCTGCCTTGGTGTTTGTGTTTGTCCTGGGCCCTGTATCTGTCCTGCATCCTGTTTCCTGTTCCTTTGCTACCTGTTCTGATCCCTGGCTTGTGTACCCTGACCATCCCTCTGCCTGACCCTCTGTACTACGCTGCTTGCTACCTGTTCTGATCCCTGGCTTGTGACCCTGACCATCCCTCTGCCTGACCCTCTGTACTACGCTGCTTGCTACCCCTGCTGAAACCTGGCCTGTGACCCCGACCCATTCTCCGCTTGCTCCCCCTGTACCTACCTGCCCAATTGATATTGACTCGGCCTGCCTGACGACGCTTGCTTGTATGTACTGTTATCTGTGGGTGGTTGTTGGGTTTGTTTGCACTGTATTATGTTTAGTATTGCACTGCGTTTATGTTTGTATTGTTAAGTGTTAATAAATTACATTGTTAATCACATATCTGAAGTCTGCGTTTCCCTGCTTCAGTCACACACCTCTGGTCATACCTGGGAGCCCTGACAGTAACATTCCACCCAAAGGTAGATTAATACGCCAGAATCGTCTGCTGAACATCTACATATGAAAATATGTCATACCTGCTGGGGATGGTTTAAGGAGATATTATTTTCTGCTTCTCCTGTTGATCTCAGCTAGGGGATGTAAATTTATCAAACGATTTGTATTAAAGTGAAACAATCCGAATATGTGCTCCATGTTTATGCAATTATGTCCTATTTGAAGATATTAAAATTATATGGAAACACGTGAGTTTTTAAATATAAGTCTGTTTTTACGACTACCTGGAATGTCTTTGAAGCTCAGTGAGGGCTTGTT